GCTCGGCTCTGTCTGGGTTCCTGGGGTCCGCCCCTCGTCTCTTTCGGCCCTTCCTTCGGGCCCCTCGCTCGTCGTTTCGGCGCCGCGGGCAGGAGTGTTCGGCAGACGATCACCCGCGAGCAAATCAAAAAAAAAATCCTCCGCCTCCTCCTCCGCCTCCTCCTCCTCCTCCTCCTCCTCCTCCTCTTCCTCCTCCTCCTCTCCTCGGGGCAGGTCCGGGGAGCCGGGGGGGTACGGCAGGCTCTCGCCGCGTCCACTCGGCAGCGGCGGCGGCGGCAACGCTGGCGCCGGCGTCCTTCAAGGTTGAAGGCCGTTGGCAGCCTGAGCCATGCCGATTTTAAGCGATGTCCGCCGTCGGACAGCAGGAGTCGCTCAAGACTGAACGATCTGCACGGCGTCAGGAGCCACTGCTCGCGTCGTCGCGACGGGAAGCAGCCGCAGCGGTGAGGGCATCTTCTCGCTCCTTCACATCAGTGAAGGCTGGCCCAGGGGGCAAGGAGCATCGACCCCCCATCGCCCGTTCCATCGCTAGTCGGACCTGGCACCCCAACCCCGCCCAGGAGCCCTGAGATCCGCCATCACCCAAAACTGCAACCTCGTGAATAGTCATCCCCAGAGCACTGGAACCCGTCTTTCTGCATTTTTCTAGCCAGATCGATCTGTGATGGCCCTCGGACCCGAAACCGGGTGAAAAAGGCTTGGAGTGAAAGAATTGCAACGCCTCGACCGGAGGGGCCGCGCGGTTTCGCCAGCTGCTGCCTACCGTCAACTTGTCGGCGATGCATCGCCGACTCCAGACCATTGCCGCCGTCCCGCCTCGGCGGCCAGCACGCTGCACAGCCGGGCGCGGCGAGCTCGGTTCTCCCGCGTCTCTGCTCGAACGCCGCGTGGATCCAAGGGGGCCCGCCATTGTCCCGGCTCCTTGGCAGCAGTAGCAGTAGGTAAGCATGCCATGTCTGTACTGGTGGATATGTACAAGTGTTATGAGTGTATAGTTGTCAGCGTGCTTGTAGAAGAAGCCCGCATTTTAGAGTATCCGCTTCGGTTGATCCGGATGTTGCTGGCGCTTTACCGTTGTCCTGGGGCTGTCCAGGCGTTCGGGTCGCTTTCCAGGGAGGTCACCAGCTACCAGGGGATACTCGCGGGGTGTTTTCATGCGAATGCTCTCATGCAGCTCCTGCTTCACAGGGTCATTGCACGCCTATGCGCATTGTATAGTAACATTAAACCACGTGTCCTGATGGACGATGCGAGTTTTCAGTGGATTGGGGATTCGCCCAGGGACTCGGGGCCGCTCCTCGAGGCCGTCACCTGGTTTTGTCGGAAAGTTTTCCGCCTGGGGCTCGTGTTGCAGGTTTCAAAAAAGTGGGTTAGTGGCTTCTACGGCCCGTGCTGCTGCGAAGCTTGCCCCGCTGGCGAGAGTGATGAAGCTCCGAGGTAGGACACGCATGCGTAACTTAGGGCACGAAGTATTCAGTGGCCGTCCGCTTAGAAGGATGGGGAATGCGAGGTTTAAAAAGTTGTCTAAACGTCGGCCGAAACTCCAGGCCCTTCGAAGGGGCGCCCCGTCCAAGGTCGGCACGCTCTGGAGGACGGGCCTTCTGCCAGCGGGGGCCCACGGGGCTGGAGTGAGTGGCCTGACGGATATCACGCTCATGTCCCTGCGAACGTTGGCTGGAATCTTAGTGGGCGCGAAGAGGTCTGGCGCTCTCACCTCGTGGCTGGCCACGCAAAGGGGCAGTTTTTTTGACCCTGTGTATGAGGCAACAATCCCGATGTTGTCCAGGTATGCGTCAGTTATTTGGGACGATTTGTTTCTCCTCAGCACCTTGCAGCATGCCTGGTGTTCGATATGTGCGCGCTTGAAGGTCCGCAAAACCTGGCACCAGTGCAAAGGGCCGATGTCGGCAGTGTGGCTGTCTCTGTTTCGAATAGGGTGGTCTATGTCGCCTGCGCACATTTTAGTTGATGACCTCGGCAACTCCCACTCCCTCCTGCGCGTCTCGCCTTCCGATCTTAGTGAGTTGATGAGGCAGGGGATATCACGTTGGCAAGCGACCCGCATCTTGCAGCACGTGCCCGAGTCTAGCGTCTCTGAAGCCATCTGGAGGAGAGGGTTGCGCCACGGAGTCCTTAAGATTAGAGATAGTAAACTTCAGGGGGCGCTAGGTGCCTTGTTGGATGTTCCCTGTGGCCCCCTGAGCGGAGAGTCCAAGCGGGCTTTGACTCTGACAATAAGTGTAGGTTCTGCTCCTCTGGCGCTCGTGGGACCCTAGGTCACCAGTGGTACGACTGCGAGGGGAGTTTGGATTACCCACGGTGCCAGGGGTGCAGGTTTCCTGAGGACGTCCTGGAGCTGCGGTCGGCCATGCGGGACGAGGGGGTGTCTGGTCTTGGCGAGCCCGATTGGGGCACTGTGGAGTTGGCCGACAGCTTCCCGCTGGAGCAGGTTGCTATCCCCCCCGTGCCCGATGACATCCCCGTCTGCTCTTGGGGCCGTGCCTATGAGACGCTCGGGGGGCGCATCTTGACGGACGGCTCGGGGCTGGCCAACAACAGCCCCGAGCTGCGTCGGTGTGGATGGGCCGCCGTGGAGGTGGGCCCCTCTGGGCCCCCCGTTCGAGCGGTCTACGGGGCCCTCCCTGGGCGGCTTCAGTCGGTTCCCAGGGCCGAGCGCTACGCGATTTACCAAGCTCTTAGGCACGGCCCACGGGACGCCCAGGTAGTGTCTGATCATTTGGGTGCGGCGAATGAAGGTAATGACTGGTCTCCCCAGCTTGCCCGGGGCTCGTTGCCGCACGCCTCCATATGGAGGAGGATGTTTGAGCTGCACCGTGCGGTCTCGGAGAGGCAAAGTTTTGCATGGACCCCCGCTCATCGTGAATGGTGCGATTTGGTCGATGGAGGGGCCACCGAATTCGATTACGAATACTTCATCGGCAACTGCTGGGCGGACTGGTTTGCCCGTGTAGGTGCCGATTCTGTCGCTGCCGCCCGCGCGCTGGAGGAAGCCCAGAAAGGGCAGCTGGATTTCATTCGGCGAAAGTTTGTTTTTTTAGGCCCGCGTTTTGTGCAGTCGGCTGCCGCGCTGGCGGAAAAAAGACGGGAACGTCTCGACCCCATCCCTGTCTTGTGATCCGCAGGTCGTGGTTGTTAGTGGGAAGGCGGTCCTGACTGAGCACGACCTGTACCGTTTGCCCAACCAAGGTCAGTGGAGATGCAAGTCGTGCAATTTGTTCGCTCGCACGCAGACATCCCTGTTACAGCTGAGATCGGGAAGTCGTCGTGTCTGTGCCCCATCGGATTGTATGCGGTGGCAGGCGAGTTGTTTCTTTGATCGGTTCGGCTCGGAAGCTGTGCCCTTGGCCTCCCAGTCGGTGCAAGCTGCCCTGAGGGCGGCGGACGAGGTCCTGGGGCCCGTGGATGAACCAGCGCCGCCACCGCAGGGGGCGGCATTTGAGCAGCTTCGAGCGCTGAATCATCAACCTGAGCAGTGCGGAAAAGTGGTATTATGCTCGGTATGCTCGGCGTTTTGTATCATGCCTGTCGGGTCAGCCCGTGATTTGCGGACCGAGTGCAAAGGGATGAGTTCCAACCCCATCACTCGAGACTCACAGGTGTTGAAGATCAAATATGCTTCGCGTGGCCTTCACCCCAAGACGGGGGAAGCTCTCTTTGACTGATGGGGAGGGAGGCCTGTCGAGTCGCGGTCCCTTGCCGCCTGGCTGGGGCTGCGGCTGCAATAATTGGATGGCCTCCCTCCGTGCACTGCCCGCTCGCTTGACGATTGTGTTGTTTGCCGTCGTCATGGCGAGTGAGAGTGGCCTGCTGCGCGTGCAGCGAGGCCGCTAATCCCAGGTTTTGGCGTGCGCTTCCGATTCGGTCGCGCTCAGCCGTCGCGGGCCTCCTCCTCCTCCTCCTCCACCTCCTCCTCCTCCTCCTCCCTCAAGCACAGCGGGGGCCCCCTGGCGCGTCGGGTCTTTTGGCTCCAACTCGCTCATGGCCCCTCCAGCACTGTACCTCATCGCGGTGCTTGAGTGGCACCTTGTCGGGTGAAACCTGTCGGTTTCATCCGCTTGGTGGCTAAACAGTGTGAATTTCTCTCAGACACGGCCTGGGCTTTAGCAGGTTCCGTCAGTTACAGTTTCGCATTCCCCCACTTCCGCTCGGGGGGTGTATGCTACCTGTGGTTGTCGCTGCTGGCGCCATCCCTTACAGCGCCGTTTTCCCCCATCACCGCACGGGGGTGTATGTGACCCTGTTAGTTGTGGGCAGTGTTTCATGTGCTATCGCAGTCAGTGGCATCTCAAGTATGGGGTAATGTTGGTGCTTTTCGTCCGTGCTTCTTCTCGTGCTTCACCTTATTGGTGGTATTGCGTCTCTGATGTGCAAGGGCGCGAGGCTGGTGGCGGAGGCGATGTTCTTTCGAGGATGCCCGATGACCATGTGGTGTATCCCTGCTTCGCAACCTGGGTTGCCAACCTCCTGTAGTGGGCCTAATTGAATCAACTTCGCGCTTGTTAAGGAGTCTTCGCTCAGAGTGTGCATTCAATACCATTGGTGGGCTCGTGGAATGTGTTGCGAGGAACATGAGTCATTCGACAATATGGTGAAGTACACGTTCCGTGGTTTCGTGCTTCGCTCGCTCCTTGGCAAGTTTGTGGTTTTCCTTGTGTTCCATTACTTCAAGGTCAAAAATCACGTCTTCGAGTCCTTCTGAGTGGGGAGAGAGGTGGTAATTAAAGACTTCATTCGACTTCGTCGTGGCACTCCAGACTCCAGGCTCCTCCTCCTCCTCCTCCTCCTCCTCCCCCTCCTCTCCTTTTTCTCTCCTCTCCACTCCTCTCCTCTCCTCTCCTCTCCTCTCCTCTCCTCTCCTTTCTTCTCCTCTCCTCTCCTCTCCTCTCCTCTCCTCCGTCCATCCTCCTCCGCGCCTCCCCGTTCCGCCGGGCGGAACAAGAAGCCCACCCACCCCTCGGGTCGACCGCCGCTCGCCGCAGGAGCTGGACGCCATGGTGATCTTGCTGGCGTGGGAGCCGGAGCTCCTCGTGGAGTACATGGCGCGCTCCAGCAAACGGGTTTTCTCGACAAAGTGCTTCTTGCTGCCCTCTGGGCCATAACGCTCCCCTCCCCCCCCATAACGTAGCGTTAAGTCGGGCTGGTCCCTCTACAAAAGGAATATTCAAAAATAGTCAAAAAATTGTATGGGGATTATTTTTGGAGTATTTTTGACCATTTTGCAATATTTTTCTGAACACTTTTGATTTTTCGTCGACAATCCCCCTGTAGGGGGACACGCCCGACTTAAACGTAGCGTTCCCCCCTCAGTGCGTCCCCGGCACTGCTGCAGTGCGTCCGGCACCACAGTCTGTGGAGGGGGGGGGGGGCGCGCTACGTTCTGCCCCCTCCCGCCCTCCACCCCCTTCCCCCTCCCCCTCCCCCTCCTCCTCCTCCTCCTCCTCCTCCTCCTCCTCCTCCGTAGCCATTTTGGCTCAAGCCATTTTGGCTCAAGGCCAAAATGGTGTTCATTTCACTGCCGATCTGGGGTAGGCTCCCACAGCTATCAGTGCTCTTCGTATCCGCAGCCACACTCACGGGCGAGCTGCCGCCCACCGTAGCTACACTCACGGGCGAGCTGCCGCCCATTCCATATTCCTCCCTTGCGTGGCTCGCGAGAGCTCCCTGGGAAGCAGTGGGACGATGGCCGCCGCAGAGCGTGGTGGAGGGACCGCCCCTGCTGACGGAGGAGCAGCCGCCAATGGCGGCACCAGGCCGCGACGTGCACGCCCTGAAGGCGGACGAGGCTCGCCAGCAGGGTTCGCAAGCCAGTACACAGTCTGCAAGCAGTGCCGATACCGATGGACATGGAAGGGGAAGTCCGAGTGCTACTACTGTGGCAAGCAGCTGACTCCATCACCTGCCGAACACCGCCAGCCCACAGGGGCTTGGGCAGGAACCAGCAAGCCACCGCCGTGGAAGGAGCAGCCAGTGGCCGCCGCCCCGACTAGGGACGCCATCCTCGCCACGCTCAGCACGCTCCTTAGCGACACCAAGCACGCCGAACTCGTCGGCTACCTCAAGGACGCCCTCCAGCAGCCCGACAAGCCTCAGCCTGCCCGCGCAGCAGAGCAGGTGCTCCAGTTGGCGCTGTCAGTCCTCACCGACAGGGAGAAGAAGTTCAAGCAGACGGTCGACGGCGTCGAGGCCGCCAAGCAGTGGTACGACGACGCCGTGGACAAACAAGAGCAAGCCGCCCTGGACCTCGCCCAGGCACAGAACGCATGCGCCAAGGCACAAGCTGACCACAGTGCCAAGCTTGCTGGAGCAGTACGCGGAGCACCACCTGTGGGGCCTCAGGAAGCCTTCAAGGTCGACAGCTCTATGTGGGACGGCCTCTCCATCCACGACGAGGGCCCCAGGGCACCCGCACCCAGATGGAACAGTGGAAGCAAGAGCTCGACCAGCGTTTCGCTGAGCTCAACAATGGCCAAGAAAAAGTGCGTGAGCTCCTACGCCAAGCCAAGGGGTCCACCACCAACCCTGCGAAGCGAAAGAAGCCGAATGGGGAGGCACCTGCTGCTCAGCAACCTCCTCCTGAGCCTGCTCCCGCATCGCCAGCGGAACAGCAGCCAGCGGCCGCGCCTGGAGGACAGGCACAACCTGTCGCGCCAGGAGGTTCTGTCGCCCCACCTGCTGAGCCACGCCAGCCTGGAGGGGCCCCTGGACCCGCTGCAGCCGCCCCTGCCGCCGACGAGCCCTCCGTGGAGGACCGCAAGGCCGCCGCCGAGCTCATCGCCACCACCGCCAGGGCCAGGGGGCTGGCCTTCGAAGCTAAGGGCAGGGGCAAGGGCGCCACCACGGTGCCAGCGGCAGCGGCAGGAGCCCCACCGTCGCTGGGGTAGCCGCAAGCAGCCTCATCGGCTTAAGGGGCCTGGGAACCGCGCCAGTGGGTCCCCCGCGGCAGGAGCGCCCGCCCCTAAGCCCGAGCAGGCAGCGCAGATCCTGTTCTGCAACATAACGGCTTGGGGCCCGCAGGCCGCGAACTTCTGTCGCAACGCAGGCTACAAGTACCGCCTCATAGCGATAGCGGAGACGCACGTCGACGCGAACGGCCTCGCGGAGCAGATGGGCAAGCTCGCCATGGGCGGTTGGAAGCTGTCGGCCACACCCGCGGTGGCCACCAACAAATCGGACAAGGGGGCCCATGGCGGCGAGTGGATCCTCACGCGCAGGGACGCGGCGGCGACTACGTTCGAGGGCTACAGGGACTACTATGTCAAGCGCCACAAAAGGCAGCCGTTCGCGGGGTTCACGCCGACGGTCCCCCACTCCAAGAGCGGCAACATAGTCGTTGTGGCGGCGTACCTTCGCCCTGGCCTGCGGGGCCAAGGCGCGAACAGGGACATCCTGGTCTCCATCTCCACTTTCGTGGACATGCTCATGGACCCGTGGATCACCCTGGCCGACTGGAACTACGAGCCGCACTGGTGGGGCAACAAGCCGTGGCTCACGCGCTGGAACGGCACCACCCTGACTGGCCCGATCTGCGAGGCGACGTGCGGCAAGGGCTCGGGCTCCGTGTGCGACTACGCGATCGTACGGGCGGACATCGCCACGCACGTCGGGATCGAGGCCATCTACGACGTCCCCTGGAAGACCCACTGCGGCATCCAGATCACGGTGGGCACCGCCGAGCCGCGGCAGTACAAAGCTATAAAGGTTCCCAAAGCCCCCCCCCCCCTCCCCCGCGCGAGCCAGGCCCAAGAAGGTCGCGGATCCGAACAGCAAAAGGTCCAAGGCTCGTGCGGAGGCGTTGCGAACCAGGAGGGAAAGGTTACCAGAGCACTTGCGCGACGAGTTCGATGCCCTGTGCACCAACCGCGAGACGGCCAAGGAGGACCCCGCCCCCTTCGTCACCCCCCAGGAGAACTGGGACGAAGCCGCCGACACGGTCGGCAACTTCCCGAAGGTCGATGGCGCAAAGGCCGGCACCAAGGAGGGCGGCCCCCGTCGAGGACAGGGCCAGGTACCAGGGCAGGGCAGAGGGGTACAGGACCACCAAGCAGACGATGAAGGCGTCGCCTGGCAGAGCGTACCTCAAGGACCCCGAGGCCACCTGGTGGCAGCACCTCAGCATCCTTGTCGTGAGGTACGCCGCGCTGGTCACCAACGGCAAGGACCCCGAAGCCCGCCAGCGCATCCACAAGACAGTCATGAAAGAGTTGGACGACCTAGAGAACCCCGAGTTCTCCAAGGAGCACTTCGGTAGAAAAAACCGACCCGCAGGGATCGAAGAGTGGAAGGCCCAGCTCGCCGCCCTCGAGTACTGCGACGAGGATGACCTGCACCACATCAGCGCCACCACCATGGAGTGGACCCACAAGGCCATGGCGAGAGCTGCAGGCAGAGCGCGAAAACGATACCTCGACTGGGCGAAGCAGGCGTGGAAGGATTCACCAGGCAAGCTGCGCCGCATGGTCACCGACCCCAAGGCGCCGCGCCTGGAGGACAAGCAGCCCCAGAAGACGGTGGGCGACCCATCCACGGTCATGAACCACTCCGCCGACACCTGGCGCTCCATTTGGGCGTCCGACAGCTACAACGCCAAGCAAATCATCAGCGCCTACGAGAAGGCCATGCGACTTGCGAAAGAGGGCCCTCTCTCGCCAATCGAGCCGCAGCACGTGCAAGCCATCGTGGGCACCGCCAACCCGAAGAAGGCGAGAGGAGTCGACAACATCGGCCCCATCGACATCCAGAGGCTCCCCGAGAAAGGGATCCAGGAGCTCGCCGACATCTACAACTAGGTGGAGGCCAACGGACTGTGGCCGCAGCAGCTCTGCGCCACCATTGGGGCCATGGCCCCCAAGCCCGCAGGTGGAGAGAGAATCTTGGGCATGCCCCCCACCATCCCCAAGGCGTGGGCCAAGTTCCGCTCCAGCGCCACCGACGAGTGGTCCAAGGAGCTCGGGGAGTTCTGGGACACCGCCATCAAAGGCTCCAGCGCCCTAAGGGCAGCGCTGGTCAGGGCGCTGCTTGGCGAGACGGCGGCGACCTTTGGCATTGCCTTCGCGACCTTGCTGATGGACGTAGAGAAGTTCTACGACTCGGTCTGCTACGCGCCCCTCTTCGACGCCGCCACCGGGATGAACTTTCCCCCGGTCGTCGTGGCGCTGGAGGTGCAGCTCTACCGGGCGCCCAGGCACCTGCGCATGCACGGCTGGGTCAGCGACATCATAGATGCCGAGAGGTCCATTGTCGCGGGCAGCTGCAATGGCGGCAAGCTCGCCAAGGTCTACCTGGGGCCGATCCTGCAGAGGGCCCACATTAACCACGCATACGCGGGCCTGTGGACGTTCGTGGACGACACGGTCGCGAGAACAGAGGGCCAAACCAAGCAGGTCATCAAGGATCTGATCGGGGTTGGCGCCGACCTGTGCGCAGGTATGATGGGCGCGGGGCTCCGAGTCTCCCCCGAGACCACCGTCGTCGCCTCCAGCCAGACGATCGCCTACGCAGTGCACGACGGCCTCAAGCAGAAGGGCTACTATGTCAAGGTGGCCAACAGCGCGGTCGACCTCGGCATCGACGTGGGCGGCGCCAAGAGACGGGTCGTGGCCAAGGCAACCAAGAGGGCCAGGACTGCGAGGAGGCGCACTCACCGCATCGTCGCCAAGGTCAGGAAGCACGCCTCCCTCGCCAAGATCGCGAAGGGCTTGTGGAACACGGGCTCCAGGCCGCAGGGGACCTACGGCCACCAGATCATGGGCCTCGCCCCAGCGGCCATCCTCGACCAGAGGCGCCAGGCCATCCAGGCCTCGGCGGGGAAGGTCCCTGGCCGCTGTCTCTCCACAGCCCTGGCCGTCGTCATGAGGAAGAAGGGCCCCGCCATCGAGCTCAGGCGCCAGTCGATCGCCGAGTGGCTCAACTTCTGGATGCAGTACCCAGAACACCACATGCGGGCCACGCACGCGTGGAAGCTGATCTACGACAAGTCGATCACGCGCGGCAACAAGAAGTGGAGGAAGGTCATGGGCCCCATCTCCGCCACCCAGTCCATCCTCCTGGACGCAGGCTGGACCTGCCCGACGCCAACGGAGTGGTCACGACCACCGTGGGTGTAGGCGAGACCTACACCCAGGAGCGGCAGCTACCTCACAGTGGACAAGCCGACTGGGAGGACAAGCGCTACGACGTGGACCCTGCGGAGTTCGTCCACGAGTTCTGCCTGTCCCTCGAGAGGAGCCTCTGGAGGGGCGCTGCCAAACATCCACATGGAGAAGGATTGCAACGGTGGGGCCCAGACGCCCACATAGTTGCCAACGAGATGGATATGTTCACGAGGAAGGGCCAGCACGACCAGGCGGCCCTCAACCTCTGCGTGGTCGCGGGGGCGCAATGGCCCAGAAGCCGACTCATCGAGGCGGGGTGCAACGCTACTCCAACTTGTCCGAGGTGCGGCGGGGCCGAAGAGACGCTCGTGCACAGGGTCTGGCTGCGCCCCTGCAACCGCGACCACGAGGACTACACGGATTCTGACGCCCTCATGCCCTCTGCCCTGGCTGGAGCAGAGGCTGCTCCCGCATGCTGGCTCCGCGGCCTGCCTGCGTGCGCTGACACGCACCCGCTCTTTGCTTCATTGGGGGGGGGGACGGCGGGTGGAGCTGGGTTGGGCGGGATTGGGATGACTGCGTCAGCAGCGACGGCACCCTCGCTCTCTTCGGCGACGGCTCCGGAGGTCAGTACAGTGATGACCCACGACGCCGAAGAGTGGGGACCGCCTGTGCTGCTATGAAGTGCCTCTTCGGGGAGTGGGTCCCCTGGGGAGGAATCACGTCGGGCCTCGAGGGCCCCTTTCAGACTGTGCCCCGCGCTGAGCTGCTAGCTTTCGCGCTCGCCCTAGAACACTGGAAGGGCGACCTCTGTTTCATTGCAGACCACCTGCCGCTATACGACGGATGGCGGTCGAATCGACACTTGCGCCCCTGCGATGGTGCCAATCAGGACTTGTGGGCACGAATTGCCAAAGCAATTCGCGCACGTGGCACTAGGCAGCTCTCTGTGATCTGGGTGCCCTCACACGGCGAGGAGTCGCCTGGCCTTGCCTCAGACCCTGTGCGATACTTCCATATTATCGGCAACGTGACGGCCGATGCATGGGCAGGGGTAGCGGCCCAACAGTCCCACGAGGCAGCGCTTGTAGGACAGGCCCCCCCCCCACAGACGTGCACGACGCCCAGTGCACCCTCATCCGCAGGAGGGCGCGCCGAGCCCTAGCTGACACGCTTGCAGTCGACCCGTGGGTCGCGGAGCGACCCTCGCAGGCCAAAGGCCCGCGCCTCACCAAGCTGCAGTTAGCCATGCAATCGAGCCAGCGCGCCTTTGAGCTCAGAGCGGGCAAGTACCTCTGCTCTCGGTGCGGGCTCGCCACTGACAAGTGTGAAGTACGCCAGGCCTGTGCCACGCCGTGCACCCACCAGCCGCCCCTGCCGCCTGCCAGTGACCAGATAGTGCCAGCACAGGGCACCATCGCCATTTCTGGGCGCGAGCTGCACGCCAGCCATAAGCTTCATTTCATGCAGAAGTACCGCCTGTACTTCTGCCGCGGGTGCGGTAAGACGGCATCCGAGGACCCACGCCACCTCGCCGCACCCTGCGCGGGTATCACCAAGAAAGGGCGAGAGAACCTCGCCAAGATAGACAAGGGTGAATTCACGCGCGCCCACGCTGGGCGCGATGGCCTCACCAAATTTCTGCGCGCAGCTACCCACGGCATGGCCGTGGAAGAAATTTCAGCTGCCGCTGCGCCTGCCGCTGCATGCGCCGCTCATTGTCAGGGCTAGAATGCGTTTGGCATCGCCCGAACTTCGCACCTGGGTGCGCTCGGTCTGTTCCTCTGTTCCTCCTCCTCCTCCTCCTCCTCTTCCTCCCCCTCCTCCTCCCCCTTCCCCCCCCAATCCCGCCCGCTCTGGCCGCGACTGGACAAGTGCCCTCCCGTCCGCGGCCCCAGAGGTCTCGGCCCTGCCCGTGGGCAGCTCTCCGCCCGGGCTCGCGCCGTGGATGGGGCCCCCGGGGGCCCGAGGAGATACGGCCCACGAGGGCCGACATCGAGGAGCAGCGCGCTGGCTTCACAAGGGCGCGAAGTTGTTCGCGCTTCGCGGTTCGGGTCCGACCCTTCCTCGTCCTCCTCTTCTCCCCCCGGCGCGAGAGTTTGAGGTCGATCTTCGAACAGCGCGAACTCAGGAGTCCTTCTTACACCTCGCGTCGTCGGAGATCCCCACCCAGACCCCCGACGTCATGACTTGCGTCGTAGCCGGCACCCCCGTGGAGGTCTCGGCCCACTCCCCGGGGCCAGCTTTCCATCCTGCCGAAGGATGGCCCCCAACTTGCAGGAGGTGCTAATGCGATCGAGACCACTTGTTGGGATGGGCAACCTTCCCTACCCTTGCATCCTTGCCTCCTCGGCCCATCCGTCACCACTTTCGATGGCCAGCCCCGCTCGAAGAGCCTCGACATGGGCGTACCAACGGGCTCGCATCCTGGGAAGGCCGCGCCGGGTTCGGAGGAGAAGAAGGGGGAGGGGAATGGGGAGGAGGAGGAGGAGGAGGAGGAGGAGGAGGAGGAGGAGGAGGAGGAGGAGGAGGAGGGGGACGGGGAGGAGGAGAGGGGGAGGGGGAGAGGAGGAGGCGGAGGAGGAGGAGGGGGAGGAGGTGGAGGAGAAGGAGGAGGAGGAGGAGGAGGAGAGGAGGAGGAGGGAGGAGGCGGAGGGGGCGGAGGGGGCGGAGGGGGCGGAGGAGGAGGAGGAGGAGGAGGAGGAGGAGGAGGAGGAGGAGGGCTCGGGGGCCCTGGGGAGCCCTCGCCGGGGCCCTCCCGTGAGTGTCCTCGGCCCAGGGTGCCGAGAGGGAGAGCCCTCCACGGAAGCACGCTCAACCGGGCCAGGTGCACCCCAAAAACAGGAGAGGTTGATACCCAGACATGATCGAGTCGTGACAAAAACCAGGACGGAGGTTTTTCGCTATTTTTGGCCCTTCGGGGCCCTCGCCCCGGGACCGTCAAAAAAGGATTCAGGATGAAAAACTGGTCCCGGGGAAAGGGTCGTGATTTCCAGGGATGCCGCCCTGAAAAACTCAGGACGTCGCATGTCTGGGTACATGTACAGGGGGAGGGGATTGTTTTCTTACGCATTGTTTTGCCGATCGGAGCGCGCCCTCGCACCCCCCCCCTCCCCCCAAGAGTAGCTCTCGACTGCTTTTGGCGCCTGCTTCGAGCAGGTGGAGCCTCTCCCCCATGATTTAGGACGCAGTGCTGCAAACAGCCGCGTTTTACTGAAAAGGGGGTCTGCCCACCCCCGAAACGCCGGATGAGAAGACGTTGACCTAGGTGCACCCAAAAACAAGAGAGCTTGACCCTGAGATCCGACGTAGCGAAAAAATTGCAACATCGTGAAAATCCGCGTCCGGAGCCCCGGACCTAATCTTTCTGCGCCATTTTTCGAGCCGCATCGATCTGTGAGGGCCCCGGGACCTGAACAAGGAGGCGAAAACGCCCGGCTCGAAAGAATTGAGTCGCCAGGATCTCAGGGGATATCCCACGGTTGTGTCCTCGACTTGGGCCCCCGGGAACCCAGAGACCCGATGTCATGATTTTTTCAATACGGGGTCCCGGGAAGTCCCGACCCTTTCCCCAGGGCCGGTTTTTCATCCTGAGTCGTTTTCTGACGGTCCCGAGGCCCGGCGAGGGCCTCTAGAGGCCAAAAATAGCGAAAAATGTCCGTCTTGATTTTTTCAATACGTTGGATCTCTGGGAAGGCCGCGCCGGGGCCCTTCCGGCCCTACGCCCTCGGCCAGCTGCGCGCGCTGGCGCTGGAGCTGCCGGCCGCGCGGCCGCTGCTGCGGCCGCTCTTCCTGTGGGCGGCCGGGCGCCCCGGCGAGCCCGCGGGCTCCGGGCGGCGCGCAGAAGCTCTCCTCCTCCCCTCCTCCTCCTCCTCTCCTCCTCCCTCCCCTCCTCCTCCTCCCTCCCCCCTCCTCCCCCCTCCCCCCTCCTCCCCCTCCCTCCTCTCCTCCTCCTCGTCCTCCTCCTCCTTCCTCCTCCTCCTCCTCCTCCTCCTCCTCCTGGGGACCCTGAGATCCTGGCGTTGCTACTTGTGCACAACGGGCGTTTTCGCTCCACTTCCGGACCCCGGGAGCCTCACAGATCGCTCCGCCTCGAAGAAATAGACTCAGACAGATGGGGTCCGGGTGTCCGGGCGCGGAACTTCAGGGCGCGGAATTTCGCGATGTTGTGTTTTTGTTGCTACGTCGGATCTCAGGGGACCGACGAAGCCAGGACAAGGAGAAAGTCGGGTGAGGATAAAGCGAGACTCTGTGAGATCCGGCGGATCTGCACGATGTCTCGGGCGCCGCGGCCTTCTCAGAGCGTTCCGGAGCGGATTCCTCCTCGTCCTCGCCGCCCCGTCCTAAGATATCGGAGGCGCCTCCGGCGAATCACCGCCGCCCCTTTTGCCCATTTGGAAACGCACATGTGGCCGAACGTCGGGCCAAAGCCTGGCCAAGCCAATGAGCGAAGTGTTCCCGTGGAAACCATTGATGGGCCACGTGGGCAAGGAGGGAGAGCGAGAGGAGGATAATGATGAGGAGGATGTTGAGGAGGAGGAGGAGGAGGAGGAGTAGGAGGAGGAGGAGGAGGATGCCTCTTGTCTCTTGGGGCCTCCTGGGAGCGTCCTGGGGGCTTTTGTGGAGGCTGGGGTCATCTTGGGCTGTCAGGAGTCTGACAAGGCGAGAACTCGAAAATAACCCAAAAAACTAAACATTGATTTGGCCTCCTCTCCAGGCCCTTCTGGAAGGCCTCCCAAGAGCCCTCCTGGGCCGTCTCGGGAGCCTCTTGGACCGTCTTGAGGCGATCTGGCGGCGTCTTGGAGCCATCTGGGGCCTTCTGAGGGCCAGATTGGCCGCCTTGCGATCATCTTTTGGATGGGGTATTGGCCCATCCTGATTGTCTTGGAGCATGATGCGCCGCGTCGCGTTGATCTCTCTCTCTCTCTCTCTCTCTCTCCGCAGCCTGCAGGGGTAGGCCGGACCCCTGAGTCCCAGCTGCATCCTTCTTGTTTCACTTTCTGGTTCCGGATTGGGGCAGTTTGATCGCCACTTCCCGCCGCGCAGGTTGGGACGCTCGAGGAGAAAAAAACGATTGTCTTGGAGCATGAGCGCCGGTGGGAGATGCTCGGGAGCCGGTCTCCGCGGACGCTTCCGGGTGGCCCGCGGGACGCGCCGACGCCCCGGCAGAAAGCGGACCCGTCGGGGCCGGCGGATCCCAAGTTGGGCGGCCGTGGGCCTGCATTGGGCGGTGGGGTGGGCTCGGGGAGGACGGGCGCTCGGGTCGGATCGTGCGGACCTTGGTCGGCGGCGAGCGAGGGGGGGAATTGAGAAGGAGGAGGCCTTCTCAGAAGGCGGCGGGACTTCTCAGAAGCCCTCGCGCCTTCTGATAGTAATCTGTAGATGTGGCTTCTCCCAGTCCCTGTGTAGCATACCGGTCTGTGCATCAGTGTTGCTATCACTGCAACTGTGATGGCTCAAGTTCTGATGTGGGGGTGGGCTCCAGCCATCCATCCTTGCGGCTGCCAGGGACCTCACCACCCTTGGCCTTCACTATCAGACCGCGGCGATCGCCGCTCAGTGCCCGAGTCTGCCCGCGATCCCTGCCTGCCCTGAGCTGGTGTGCTCGTCGGGGCCTCCGCTTCCGGCCTGCCCGGCCGCGCACTGCGAGTGCACGTGCCCGAAGCCGGAGGCGGGCAGCTGGCTGCTGCTGTTGGGCGCGGGCGTGGCCACGGGCTGCGCGCTGGCCGGGCTGGTGCTCGGCGCGGCCGTCGGGCTCTACGTCGGCCGGCTCGCGGCTCGTGGGGCTGGTGTCCCTGCGTGTCCTCCCGAAGCTCTGCGGGACGCTCCGGTGGCGGAGCCCGCTGTGGGGCCAGAGGCTGCGAGGGCGCTGGTGGCGACGCCAGCGTCGAGAAGAGATGGCGGCCAGGCCTCGCTCGCTTGACATACGGGAGCCTCAGATCGTCGTGAACTTTCCTCTGGATGCTCTTCCTTGGCATCACCGAGTGCTGCTGCATGCCATGGGCGACGGGCGCTGGATGTGCCTGACGCCGGACATGGAGATCACGCAGCACAACTTAAATGAGCTGCGCCACTATGTCCTCGATCGGAATGCGCAGTTTCCTCGGTGGGTGCTGGCTGGTCTCTATGCCTTCGACCCTATCGACCCTGGGGAGCTGCTTGAACTGAAGCGTCAGGCTCGGCAGCGCGCGGCGCTGCTCGGGGCTGGCGACCCTGAGGATGAGGCGGATCTGGCCTGGGTGATTGCCGAGCCACAGGACGCGAGGTTCGGCGAGGTGGTGCTCGAGGATGTGGTGGAGAAACCGAATCGGTGCGCCCACCTGCGCAGGAAGGGCATGGTGATGCTGGACGGCCAGGAGCGGATCATCGAGCTGATCAGCCGCGACGAGAGGGACGACTGGATGAAGGAGCGGAAGGAGAGCTGCGTCGACATCCGCCTGAACGGCGACCAGCGGACAAAGATCGGCCGCAGGGGCGTGGACTTCCGTGATGCCGTGGATCAGATGGAGCAAGTGGAGCTCGCCGACTACACCGACCTCGGGCCGCGCGCGATGGGCGAGTTCATTACGTCGGTGGCCGTCGGCAGTGGGAACCTCACCAGCTACCAGGCCGAGTGGGAGCGGATGAGTGGCGTCTTGTCCGGGGGTGCTCAGTGCCACGAACACCGTTCGCTCCTGGAGATCGCCCGCCGCGCGATCTGTATGGGCCAGCTCAACGTGAAGAACCTCCACTGCATGGAGGCGCTGGTCAGGCGGGTCATTCAAATCGAGATGGCAGTACAGCGTAACCCACGGCATCCAGACTTCTCTGGTCTCGAGGATGCCGTTGGCGGGCCCAGAGGTGCGACGGGCTCTGCCGCCGCCCCGAGGTGCACGGAGTTCGCGGTGGCCCGCCAGAAGGACCGCGCCAACATCTTGAAGCAGATGAGGCTGCACAAGGAGGAGCTGGATCGGGAGCGCCCTTCGGACGACGGGGGGAAGCGCAACCAGAAGGACAAGGAGAAGGACGAGGGCAAGAAGAAGAAGGGTGGCCCCCCGGGCGATGGCTCGGGGGGCGGGGAATGACTGAGTTCCCTGGCGCTCACCAGCAGGGCTCTGCCGCGCCTGATGACGGTGGGCGCCTTCGTCGTGGAGCTAGAGGTCAGACCAAGTCCGAATGGTGGCCTCGCGGACAGTGGTTTCACAACGACCCTTTTCCCTTGCCTCAGGTGGCCATTGACGCAAGGCCGTCTGGTGCCCCTCGCTCCACTGTGCGACGGTGGAGAGTCAGGACTGAGAGGCAGCGACGAGTTCCGGGAGCGGTTGACACGCTCAACTACCTCGCCACCTCACGTGCGAATTCAGGGTGCGACAAAGCTCGACGAGTTAGGCCGTGCGGGGGACCTCCCACAGCAGCGCAGCGCAGCGTGCTGGAGTCAGTCCAGGAGCGGATCGACTTCTACGGGAAACCCTCGAGCGAAGCGGTGGATGGCGAGAGGTCCCTTCGGGGGATCCTCAGATCCACTGACCAGTACGAACTGGAGCCGCAGCATTTGGCGAGCTACGACGTCACGCGCCTCAGGGTGTGCAAGGGGGACATCAGCCCGGTTCTCGTGACGGATTTGCTACGCGCCGAGGCTGCAGGTTTTTTGAGACACTTCCAGAGCCAGATCGAGCTCTCAGAACCCGAGATCGCCGAGCGTGTCCGAGAGGCTGGGGGGATGCCCGAGCCGTGCTGGGATCCTCGGCTTCGCGGTGATGCTGAGCTGCGACGTGACTTTTTTGCCGACTTGCTAAGATCGGCATCGTGGGTTTCAGGCGGGCCATCAAGCCCCGCTGCGGCGCGTTCTTCGCGCACAAGAAGGACGGCAACATCCGGTTCATGTGCGACGCGAGGGCGACGAACATGTGCCGTCGTCTCCCTCCTCGGACGGTCTTGGGAGGTGCAGCTTGCCTCTCGGAGATCGACCTCAGCAGCTACGCTACGGCGCTCGGGGGTTTCGGCGGCGTCTGTGAGCCACGTTTCTCGGGTGCCGACGTCAAGGATTGTTTTTACCAGCTCGCCAACGAGGAGATGGGCAGCTGGTTCGGGTTCGACTCCGCGCTGACCGTCGAGGGCTGGGACCTGGGCATCACGCGCGCGCGGGGCGACGACGTGGGGGGCTGGACCCCCGCCCGGGCGGGCGAGCTCCTGTTCCCCTGCCTCCGTGTTTTACCGATGGGCTGGGCTTGGGCGCTGTACTTTGCTCAGGAGGCCGTCGCGCACCAGGTTCGGCGCTCTACTGCAGATGGCGATCGGCAGCTCCTTCGAGATAAGCGACCTGCACCTCTCCTGCGGCCCGGGAGGCCGCTGGCTGCCGTGCACGTGGACAACTTCACGGGCGTGGGGGGCTCGGCCGCCGACGCCGAGCTCGGGGCGCGGGCCTTCGAGGAGCGGGCTGCCGAAGCGGGGCTGGCTCTGCGCGCCGCGGACGTGGCGGTGGAGGAGCTGGAGAGCCTGGGCCTGGTGCTGTGCGGGGCCGACCGCCGCGTGCGCCAGAAGCCCAAGCGGGTCTGGCGCTTCTACTTCGCCACGAAGGCCTTGCTGAGGCGGGGCCGCGCGACGGGGGCCGAGCCCCGGGTCTGGGCGGGGCATGCCGTGGCCCTCTTGGGGCTGCAGCCCTGCTTGCTGTCCATCCTGCAGGACGTCTACCACTTCATCGGCGACGGCAGCCGGCGGCGGGCGGCGCTGCCTGCGACGGTCCGCGGGGAGCTCCGCATGGCCGCCATCGCCTGCTTTTTGACTGAGGTCGACCTGAGCGCGCCTCTCGCCGACGAGGTCCACGTTTCGGATTCGTCGTCCTCCGGCTCCTGCCTGATGTACGGGCGAAAGCCACTTCGTGCTGTTTGGGATGCGTACCGCTGGCGGGAGCGCTGGCGGTTCGTGGAGGTGGAGGCCGACGGGAATTCGGACGCCTACACGGCGGCGTACCTCAACCAGCCCCGAGGAGTCACCGACGGCTTCGGGGCCACGCTGGACGAGGGCGCCCACAAGCACGCTGACGCCCGCGTTCGGGCTGGTCAGCCAGCAGGGGCCTGGCGCGAGACCGAGCTGGGACAGCTCCTGTTTCGCCGTGCTGCAGTCGGCCGCGGAGCGCCGCGGCGTTGGGCTGGCCGCCCCAGTCAGACCCAGGAGGTGGAGCTGCTGAACGTCGTGCCCGCCTTGCCGACCGCCCTCGCCAGCGACCCCGGGTGGACCGCTGCCGTCGAGGGTCGCTGGAAGTATGACGAGCATATCAACGTGAAGGAGGGCCGGGTCTGCGTGGCCGGCCTGAGGCGTTTTTGCCGGACACGCGCCCGCCACGGGCACCGTGCTCTCAGCCTCTGTGACAATCTTGTTTGCTGCTGCTGCTTTGACAAAGGCAGAGCTCGATCACACGTCCTCAATTCGCTGTGCCGGAAGGCGGCCGCCTACAGCGTGGGCTGTCGCGTTCGGTGGCGGGTCAGACACGTCCCGACGGATCTGAATGTGGCCGACGAGGGGTCGAGGAGGGATCAGGCCCGCGACCCCGAGTGGCTGCTGCAGAAGAAGAGGGAGCGACAGCCTGTGGCTCCCTGGTTGCCGTCCACGAGCGTCGGGGAGGGGGGCTCATCCTCTTCGTCCACTCCCTCCGATCACAGAGAACACGCAGAGACACCGTCGCCCCCCTCCACCTCACATGCACGCGTCTTTCTGGAGTTGTTCGCGGGTGCGGCGGGGTTGACCGCCGCCATGCGACATGCTGGGCTGCGGACGGCGGCCCCGTTTGACATCAAGAAGGGTGCCGAGTATGACCTCTCGAGGAGAAAAACACAGCTGCTCGTCCTGTCTTGGGTTCGGTCTGGGAGAGTTTGGGCTGTGCACCTGGGGGCCCCTTGCAGAGCCTGGAGCAACGCTCGTCGTGGAGTCCGTAATCTTCGTCGAGCTGAGATCCTAGAACGCCTCGGGGTTGAGTTCGCTTTGTTTACCGCTGAAGTCGTTCGTGAGTGTCAACGTTGTGGAGTGGGCTGGAGCATCGAGAACCCCATGACCTCTGGGCTCTGGAGTTTCCCTCCTATTGGTCGCCTCGCTGGTCTCCGTGGTGCGTCTTGGGTACGATTTCCTATGTGTGCGTATGGTGCTCTTCATCAGAAGTGGACTCTGGTGCTCGCGAATATCCCGGAGCTGAGGGGCCTGGCGGCTCCCTGCACCCATCGTCGACATGAACAGCTGGTGGGTAAAGTTCGGGTCCCTGATGGCTCTGGGGGTCACGTCTGGTGCAATCTCACGGCCATGGCGGGTCAGTATCCGTCGGCTTTATGCTCAAGGTGGGCGTCACTCTTGGGTGAGGTTGCGCCTCTGGCCGCCCGAGGGGGCGATGCCCCCTGGGCCGGCGAGTGGCGCGCTGCCTTGGCGGCGCTGGTTCGGCCTGGCCGCCGTCTTCGTGATGGGCGGGATGTTCCCGGCGCTGACGAGGCAGCGAGCGGCGATGCGGCTTGCGGGACCGCCACCGACTACCTCGCGCACCACGGCGCCCTCTTCGGCAGGACGGGGGCTGCCGAGCGGGCCCGGCTCAGGAGGCGCGGGGGGGCTCTCGACCTCCCGATCGCCCCGCCGCCGGGCCTCGGCTAAGGCCAAGGCCGCCAGCCGGCGCCGCCGAGCCCGGGACAGTGAGCGCCAGCCGGCGCCGCCGAGCCCGGGACAGTGGACTTCGAGACGCGGCGCGTTGAGGTTGGTCGCCAGACCATCAATGCAAAAGACGCTGACGAAAATATGGTGCACTGGTTTGCTCAGATGTTCTTCGACGGCATGGGTCCTGGGACGGGCCGCAACGGCTTGTTCGGTTGGATCTTGCTGCGCGGGGGGCCCTTTCAAGAAGGACGTCAGCTGCTCCCGCGGGCCCGGAGGCAGTTGAAAGCTTGGGGGCGGACAGATCCCAGCCTTGTCGGCCTACCCTACCCGCTCATCTTGATCTGGGCCATCGCGCTGGACCTGCTGAATCACAGCCTGGTGCGCACGGCCGCCTGCGCGGTGCTTCAAACCGATCTGTACTCGAGGCCCTCGAAGACTCTGGAGCTCTCAGAGGCTGACATCCTCCGCAGCCAGCCCGCGGCGGGCCGTGCCTTTCCCGGCCGCTGGGCGGTGGTCTTCGCGCCGTCCGAGTCCGGTCGGAGGACCAAGACTGGCCAGACGGATGACACCGTCGATGTCGGAGTGCGCGGCCGTGAGTGGGTCCGAGACGTTGTGGCTGCGCTCAAAGACTCAGCCCAGGCTGGAGAGCGCGCGTTCGACTTCGATCTTGCCACATATACGAGAGAGAGTTCAAGGCCTCCTTGGTGATGCTGAAGCTCCAGGCCGTGGGCGGATCTCCGCATTGGTTGCGCCACTCTGGGCCGTCCAACGATAGGTTCGAGAAGAAAGCTGACCTCCCGTCGATTCAGAAAAGAGGCCGCTGGGTGAGTTTCAAAAGCGTCACGAGATATGAAAAGCACGCCCAGCTTCTGAAGCAACTTGAAAAGTGTGAGCCTTCTCAGATTCGAAGCGCGAAGCGCGCCGCCAGCTCTTTGCCTGCCAGGCTTCTGCACTCGCTTCGTGAGATGACGGTCCGTCGACCAGTCCCGAGGAGTTCGGGAGGTTTGGCCGCGAGGGAAAGGCCTGCGAGTTTCGGCTAGCCGGTTTTCTTTGAAGAATTGTCTTTCACTGCCTGCTTGGTGCTGGCCAGCACCCCTCACAGCATGCTCGACGTTTGCTCTGGAGAGAAACCCTTGCGGCTCGAGGAGCCGCTCCGCTTGCACGCTGTCTGCTGTTTGGCTTCGTCTCCCGCTGCTGCGTCGGATATTATTGCTGGTTAGCGGTCTTTGGGACCCTGGAGAATAGTAATATGTAGATGTGGTTTCTCCCAGTCCCTGTGTAGCATACCGGTCTGTGCATCAGTGTTGCTATCACTGCAACTGTGATGGCTCAAGTTCTGCCATCCTGCTTCCCCACCACCGCCCATTCTCTTGGCCGCGAGGAAATGGCCCGCGAGTTTCGGCTAGCCGATTTCTTTGAAGAATTGTCTTACACTGCCTGCTTGGTGCTGGCCAGCACCCCTCACAGCATTGCTCGAGGTTTGCTCTGGAGAGAAACCCTTGCGGCTCGAGGAGCCGCTCCGCTTGCACACTGTCTGCTGTTTGGCTTCGTCTCCCGCTGCTGGGTCGGATATTCTTTCTGGTTAGCGGTCTTTGGGACCCTGGAGAAGAAGTTTTTCTGTCTTCGGGAAGGCTTAGAAAACTTCTCAGAAGTCCGGGAGACTTCCGAGCCTTCTGAGAAGGTACGCCCCTTCTCACTTCCCCCCTGGCTCGCCGCCTACTTGGCTCAGGCGGTCGAGCCGGGAATACCGTCAAAATGCCCCCAACGGGGCCCGCAGGTCCCGAGACAGGCCAAGACGGCACCGGAGTGCTCCGAAGAAGACCCCATGGGGTCTCTCCTGGGGGGACGGGCGCTCGCACACGATACGCTTGAACACCTCACATGTTCAATGTGGAATTGTCTTGCGCTGGCCTCGTTTCGGGGTGTTGGGATGGTCCTCGTGCCCGCAAGAGCCCCCCAACAGAGCCGAGAGGGCCCCAAGCGACCCCCAAGACCGCTTCAAAACCGTTCCAGAAGGGCCCCAAGAGGCTCCCTAGTTGTAAATCCGGGCGGGTTGTGATCCGTAGCGATTTGGGCGCAGTGTTCGTTCCGAACCCGAGCCCGCGCCTCCGCTTGGCTTCAGCGTTGCCTGCAACTAGACATGCGCCGCCATAGCAATGGCAGCGACACAGAGTCTATCTCCGACGACGGGTCGACTTTCCTGCCCACCAGGGCGGGGTCGAAACAGTCGCACGAGCACTTGGTGAAGTCTTTTACGGGCGTGGGCGGGATGGTGCAATGGCTTGGGGACCGGTGGGCACATAAGCAACACATCGTGGTAACAGGCTTCGACGCTGACAAGTTTTCCTCGTCCATGGTGGGGAGGAGGAGGAGGAGGAGGAGGAGGAGGAGGAGGAGGAGGAGGAGGAGGATGGGGGGGGGGGAGGAGGAGGAGGGAGGAGGAGGAGGAGGAGGAGGAGGAGGAGGAGGAGGAGGAGGAGGAGGAGGAGAAGGGGAGGTGTTTCTCGCCGTGAGGGGCACGATCGTGTCGAACTGGGTGCTGTGGGCGGAGCAGGCGCTGTGCATGCTGTTGTACTTGGTCTACGCATGCATCCACAAGCTGCTCTTCTACAGGGAAGATGCTGCTGAGTCGCGTGGCAGTTTCAAAGATGAGGTGCGCCGTCTGTCAAGCAGCGTCTCGTACTTGGCGGCATTTCTGCTCAGCTTCTACACCTCGCTGACCGTTGCCAGGTGGTGGCGTCTCCGCACCGACGGCATCGGCAACATCTGGGCATCATGTTCAGAATTGTGCCTGTTCATATCTGAGTTCGTAACGGACGACGAGAAAGTGTTGACTTCAATTCGACGTTACGCGCGGGCATCGCTCGTCATGCGTTTCTTGGAGCGCCGTTTCCCAGGCAAGCTCGCCGAACACCTCTACTTGCTTGTCAATCTGAACGTGCTAACCGAGGAGGAGGTTAGTAAGCTTCGTGAGTACGAGAACAATCTCGCCGAGAGTATCTGGACGTGGGTGGCACGCATCGTGAGGAACCTGGACATCAAGAGCGACGCCTTGCTCAATTTCATCCTGAAGAAGGTGGCGAAGGGGCGCGCCGGTGCCGCTCTCATCGGAGCACAGATGGCGACTCCGATCCCATTGCCGTATGTCCACCTTCTTGGCCTTCTCGTGAAGCTCCACAACTACTGCCTGGCGGTGTGCACGGGGTATCTACTGGCAGTGGATTCCGAGAAGTGGCCGGAGCTCACGGTGATAGTTTTCTTTGTCCCCTTCCTCTACAACTCGCTCCTTCTCATCAACGCAGAGCTTGCAGACCCGTTCGACGGCGGAGTGAATGACTTCCCGATGGAGAGGTACGAGCTCGCAATGGAGAGCGACGGGCGCAGCTACTTGCAGGCTGGCCGGCACACCCCCGAGTGGATGCGCCTCTCCTGAGGGTGGCGAGGCTGGCTGGACGTAGCGTCTTTCGACTGCGAGCGAGGGGGGAAGTGAGAAGAAGAAAGCGTCCGTGTCCTCGGGGAAGGCTGAGAAAATTCTCAGAAGGCCTCGGGTAATCAATCACATCTAGTTTATATTCGAAGTAAGTCCAAATACGGTGTCCGTACGCGCATGCCTAATACAGCGGGTGACGGAGACAGTTGAGTGCGAGTGCTGATGTTGCTCCTGCCTGGCTGCGATGGACCGCCCCATGCACGGAGGCAGCCGAACGTGGGTCCGATATTTTTCCTGTCCGTCGCGTGTGGAGCACAGCCAGCGACGAGGACAGCCGAAGGCGGGTGTTGGTGTTCGTCCCTCTGGAGGCGGTCGACGTCGCAGTTTTGGCAGTTGAGGACTCGGGCCTTCTCCTCCGCCTCCTCCTGGAAGCACTGCGTGCCTAGCGCGTTGGGCTAAAGGACCTACCGGTCGGTTCATTGCGAGAGACGTGCCAGATAAGAACGAGAAGGCCCGAGGCCTTCCGAGCGTTCTGAAAAGGCCCGCCCCTCTTCTTTTCCCCCCCAGGCTAGCCGCCGAGTCCTTTATAGTCTACTTACACATGATTCTTCGAGCACTCCCTTGCTACAGATGCTTCAAAGTTCGTCGAGTGTCGGACCGTGTCCTCCCCTGTTGCTGCCAACGGCGCAACATCAGTAAGGATGGCCAATTTTCCCAAGGGTACCCTTGCATCCTTGCCCCATTGGCCCATCCTCAGCGACTTTCAACGGTCAACCTAAATCGAAAATCGTAAACTTGACCCTCCAAGGCCCTTGCATCCTTACCGCGCATCCTTCTGATACGGGTTGACTATATCTGGAGAGGGAGGGGGTGGAGGACGAGGAGGAGGCACTGTCGTTGGCTTCCGGGAGTTCCGGCGGGGCGTGGCCCCAGTCGGATCCAGGGGAGACCTCGCTTCCCCAGGGCGCACTGAGCAACCGTCGCCGCTCTCGCGAGCTCCCTGGAGGTCCAGCGGAGTTGAGCTCCGTTCATATCCAAACGGGACCTCGCCCTATTGGGAGCTGCCAGTTGCGCAACCACCTCGTGGTCTTGTCGTGGGCTGGTTGGGTGCGCTCATCGGTAAATTGTTGGAAGCAGAGACGTTTCACTTGGGAACGGCCCAGGTTGTGGACACTGGCCACAGATCTTCTGCAGCGCACCAGCCAGCTTGAAAGAGGCCATCTTGAGGCACTCGTGAGCCGTCTTGGACCCTCAAGAGGCCGAAGAGGCCGAGATTCTTGATCTACCGATGGTGTTCCCAGTTTGCCTGATGCCCAGACAGGGAGGAGGGGCATCTCTGCTATAGCGGACGTGTTCTGATCCGTAAGGGCTTCGCCCCATGCCGCCGGCCCCTTGTCTCGGATAATGGGAGATGCAAAAGCTACATCATGAGGCCGTGAAGCAGTGTCGGGACCTGTTTGTTTTTCGACCCTGACCCTACGGATCTGCGTCACGGGTGCCACCGAATTTCAGAAATGTAACAAATCCTGTATGGCTTTGCACCCTGACCCTGCGGATCTGCGTGAGGGGTGCGGCCGAATTTCAGAAATGTGGCAAATACCCTGTGTTTTTGAACCCTGACCCTGCCGATCTGCACGAGGGGTGCCGCCGGATTTCAGAAATGTTGCAAATCCTTTGTGTTTTTGGACCCTGACCCTGCCGATCTGCGTGAGGGGTGCCACCGAATTTGAGAAATGTGGCAAATCCTTTCTGTTTTTGGACCCTGACCCCGCCGATCTGCGTGAGGGGTGCCGCCGAATTTCAGAAATGTGGCAAATCCTTTGTGTTGTGGCACCCTGGCCCCGCCGATCTGCGTGAGGGGTGCCACCGAATTTCAGAAATGTTGCAAATCCTTTTTGTTTTTGCACCCTGACCCTGTCACTCTGCGTGAGGGGTGCCGCCGAATGTCAGAAATGTAGCAAATCCCATGTGTTTGTAGACCCTGACCCTGCCGATCTGCGTGAGGGGTGCCACCGAAGTTGAGAATTGTGGCAAATCCTTTGTGTTTTTGGACCCTGACCCCGCCGACCTGCGTGAGGGGTGCCAGCTAATTTCAGAAATGTGGCAAATCAGATGTGTTGTTGCATCCTGGCCCCGCCGATCTACGTGAGGGGCGCCACCGAATGTCAGAAATGTGGCAAATCCCTTGTGTTTTTGGACCCTGACCCTGCCGATCTGCGTGAGGGGTGTCAATTTTTATCCACTCCAGCAATTCAGAGCACACGCTCAGGGCGTGGTAAAAATGTGCGTTTTGGCCTCCCCCCCTCGCGCGGTCCATCAACAAGGAACAGTAAGCAGCAAGAAGCAGAACTGTAAGCAAGAAGCAGAACTGTAACATGGAAGCTGCAACTGGTACAGGAAACTGCGAACCTTAGGTCTACAGCCTGGTGGCCCCACAAGGGGGCCGGCGGATGACCGGAAGCGCCTTCTCGGAACGAGAAGGTGATGGGAGTTTTCTAGCATTTCTAAGTGAGGTATAAATAAAAAACAAACTCGCGAGGGACAACTGGCTCCCGATTGTAAATGTTGATACGTTGGCGGATTCCGCTCAAAATGGCGTTTCGCCCGAGACATCCTCGAACAAGTGAGATGTTGAAGCCGTGTAGTTGAGACGTCTTTTGTTAAACATGAGGTTCTCGCTCGATACATCCTCGGAAAACGAGCTACTGAGCTCGCTCGCGAAATTGAGCGAATCGTTGGAAATTGTCCTTCGCCCGAGACATACTCGATAGATGTGGAAGTTGTTTGATTAAGATGTGTTTCGTGAAAGATAGGGCTCTCGCTAGAGACATCCTCGGAAATCGGCATTCGCACCATCTGAGCTCGAGGTCCTGTCTGGTCCGTCTCTTCCGTCCTCTCCGCCTCTGAGGTCTCCTCCGTTTCTGAGGTCTCCGTCTCCTCCGTCTCTGAGGTCTCCTCCTTCTTTGAGGTTTCTTCCATCTCTCCTCCGCCTCCTCCGTCTCCTTCTTCATCCTCCTCCTTCTCCTCTTCCCCCTCCCTTTCCTCCTCCTCCTCCTCCTCGCGCACGCACGCCGTACATCCCCCCGCTCGTCGCCCCCATAGCACGTCTCGCACGCACGCCTTACATCCCCGGCGCCCGTCGCCCCCATAACATTTCCCGCACGCACGCCGTACATACCCCCCGCCCGTCGCCCCCATAACACATCCCGCACGCACGCCGTACACCCCCCCGCCCGTCGCCGCCATAACATAACCTTGCACACACGCGCGCACACACGAAAACAGCCGCTCACACAAGCACATACACAGGCACGCGTACATACGCGCACGCTCGCACCAGAGTAACCACAGCAAACACATGCAACCACTAAGCTCGGAGAAGCAACCACTGATCCCGCCCTCCGCGCGCGACGCGAGTTCTGGCGAACTCTCTGTGGGGGAGGCGCTTGGGGCCCCATCTCCCCCGCGCGATCCCTGGCTAATCGTCTGGGGGGGGGCTCGCGCGGCAGCGGCAGCAGCAGCAGAGCAGGAGTGGGAGGAGGAAAAGAGGTATATGACGACGAAGAGGGGAAGGAGGAGGAGGAGGAGGAGAAGGAGGTGGAGGAAGGAGAGGAGGAGAAGGAGGAGGAGGAGGAGGAGGGAGAGTAGGCAAGGCCAGCGCGGCAGACCAGCGCGGCACGCCAGCGAGGAGTTCTTTGGTGTGCTCAATCAGACGTTTATCTGACAAGCCTTGTGGACAAAGCGGCGCTTCCCGTTCTTGTCCGGTCAGGTTCTTGAGGGAGGCAAGAGGGGCGACACAACAACCCCCCCACACAATAACGGATAAGAGGATGGGGACGTGGACAAGGGGGGAAGGACGGGGACGGGGACGGGGGGGGAAACCATCCTCACTCTCCCCTCCTCCTCCTCCTCCTCCTCCTCCTCCTCCTCCTCTCCTCCTTCTCTTACTCCTCCTGCTCCTCCTCCTCTTACTCCTCCTCCTCCTCCTCCTCCTCCTCCTCCTCCTCCTCCTCCTCCTCCTCCTCTTACTCCTCCTCCTCATCATCCTCCTCCTCCTCCTCCTCCTCGCACTCGTCGTCGTCCTCCTCCTCCTCCTCCTGCTGCTGCTCCTCCTCCACCTCCTCGTCCTCCTCCTCCTCTTACGGATAAGAGTGATGAGGGTGGGCCTGGGCTGCTTTGCCCGCTCTCCGGGTCTCAAGCGCCAGAGCAACGAAGCTTGCTGCGGGCGCCGATGTTGCCCGAAGCACTCAGCCTGCCGCAGGCGCCGATGTGATCGTCTTCTGATTCATTGTTTTGCCGATCGACGCGAACCCTCCCACCCCCTCTCCCCTCCCCTCCCATGGAGTACACTAGGGGTCTTGAAGAAGGAACCCGTCTCGTTGGGGAGGGGCTCGGTGTTCCTTGATTGTTTCACAGCTTGCCTCGGGCTTTCCTTGTGTTTTCGATGGGAAATCGAAGTTTACCTTATGGAAAAAAAGGGGCCTCGTTCCTTATCTAGGGTTCCTTAGGTCAACGCCCCGACTGTAGATCTTGGCTGCTTTGGGCGCCTGGCTGCAGGCAGGTGGAGTCTCCCCCACAGGGCCCACTGCTGCAAACAGTCGCATTCAAGCAAAGGTCTGAAGCCACCCGCCCTCTCTCCCAGACCCCCGACGTCATGATCCTTTCACTGCGTCGACCCCTGGAGATCTCGGTCCATTCTCCTGGACCGGCTTCTCATCCTGCGTCGTTTCTGTTGGCGGTCCCGAGGGCCGGTGAGGGCCCCCAGGGGCCGAAAGTAGCAAAGCACCTCCCGTCGTGATTCTTTCGTTGCCCGAGGGGGTCTGGGCTCCCCCTCCCCTTTTCCGCCCAAGGCCGAAACGCCGAATCAGAAAACGCCGACGATTCTGTTTCCAGAGCAGTGCGGCCGGGCGGCGGGCCGCGAGGCTCGAAGGCCAACGCAGAGAAGCCCGCCGCGGGGTCGCGGGCGCGAGCCGCGAGCAGATCGACGGTGGGTCGCGGGCGGGTCGCGGGAAGGTCGTGGGTGTGTCGCGGGTGGGGTCACGGGGGTGACGACAGTAAAAGTGATAAGTTCTGTATGGTGAAATGTTCGCTGCTCGCGTAACACTCGACATGTGTGTAGATGTATGTATGTATGTGCGTACGTATGTATGTCTGTATGTATGTATGCATGCATGCATGCATGCATGTATGTATATATGTATGTATGTATGTGTATGTATGTATGCATGTATGTATGTATGTATGTATGTATGCATGCATGTGCGCATATACATAGTATATATACATACGTACATAATACATACATACATATACATACATACATACATACATACATACATACATACATACATACATACATACGTACGTACGTACGTACGTACGTACTACGTACGTA